GCTAACACAAGCAACGCGAGCAACCTCTCGGGGAGTGAAACGTTCCAAAATAGCGCAGAGGATTTCGTCAGGAAGGACTCCAAAGTCTCCGAGAGCTTCTATCCGGCGATCTCTATGAGACTCCATCCAATGTCAAATTTAATTCCAATGTCAAATTCAATTTCACAACACAAGGATGAATATCTTTTCTCTTTACAAATTAGCGTGTTTACAACGAAAGAATTTGTACAATTTCAACTTATGATACAAAAAAGACAGGGCAAGAACTCAAGAAAGAGGCGGCAGAACCGCGTAATAAGATTAGACTATGAATTAGACATGCTTACTTTAAAATAAAATAAAAAATCGTCCAAAATATATTACATTACATATTTCATGTGCTATTACGATGTGCGCACTTCTCGTTATTCATACGCAAATACAAGTGCTTTCGCTCAACTCGTTTTCTTTTTACTATTCATCGGGGTGAGTAAACGGTAAAAGAAAATGATTTCACCTACTATATTAGATTAAGAAAATTCAACAAATCTGTCAAAATAAAAAGAAAATTCAAAAAAAAAATGAAAGTGAAATTAGTCAATTATACTGCTCCTTTTATATTCATATTACACTTAAATTGATAATATTAATATATATTTACAGAATAAAATAAATATAAATAACTAAGTTTAAAACTTAAATAAAGTAACTAAAAATTTAATACACCATTTTAGATTTTTCTTGGACTCATGATATCGTTAAAAATTTTAAGATAAAATTTCTCAAAAGTATAAAATAAAATATATTCTTTATATAACATGTCATTCTTCTTTCACCCAATAGATTATGGAGTTTGTTATTCCATCCTTTGATCCCTTCAATCTCACTAAAGATATTAGGATGATAGCACCTCGTAATTAAGGGTGTAAGCGGTTTAGAATATGTTGAGTTTAAGATAATTTTCATTTAATCTAATCAAATTTTAATTAGATTGGATTCATTTTTTTTATTGTTATATATATTTGAGTTGGGTTGGGTTCATTTAGTTTGAAATTCATGTGGATTATCTAATCCAATTCTAATTGGATATACTAAACAAAATTCAATCCCTATAAAAAAACTATATTTAAATTGGATATATTAGATGGATTAACCCACTTATATTCCCTACTTACAATAATAAGATAATTATTTAACAAATGTTGAACCATATTCTAAATATAAAGATAGATAAAAAAAATTGTATAAGAGGAGAATAATTTAATTAAGTTATTTTTTTAATATATTTGTTAAATCTCTTTTGATAAATTTCTATACCAAAACACGTAATGTGCATTTTTTGTAAGAAATAATTTATATTTGAATTAAATAAAACAATTATAATATATATATATATATATATATATATAAACATTGATTACATACAGATTTAGAAATTTATTTTTTTATTTTTACTAGTTTTTTATTAATAATTAAAAATAATAATTCATTTAGATTATTAAATTAAAAAAATTAAAAATAAATGATAAGTGTCTAATTCTTAGTTCATTTATGAATCACTTTTTGTAATTGAAATTTAAAGTCATTTTATTACTAAACTTGCATCTTATATAAAATAATCTAAATAAAATAAATAATAAAACATAAACATTATTGTTGTCAAAATATTATTATTTATTTAATTATAAATATCATCTCAATATTGAGGAAGAGAAAACAATATGTTTTAAAATCTTTTATTTTGAACATATTTTATTTTGTTCAATTTTTTTGAAATTCACGAGGAATTACAATTTTTGTGAGTTTTATTTCTTATTTAATAAATCTCTATCAAAATTTTATTTTTTTAATATAATATAATCATATATTGTAAACAAAAAAAAAAAATTTGTCAAGAAGTACGTAGTTTTCAATAGATATTTTACTGTCGCTATTATATACTATAAAGAAAAAAATTATCATCAAACATATATCTCACATGACCTTACTTCTTTTTTTCTTACCCCGATATCACTGAATTTTACATTATTTTGTGCTTCTAAAATAATATTTTCATTGAAAAAACCAAACGCAACGTGGAATTTAATGCACATTATAATAGATATAAAATAATAAACGTGTTTATATATTTAATAATTTTTAAATTGTGCACAGATATATTTCTATATTAGTAATTGTTTCCAAATATTATTACATAAATATTGTACTAAAAAAAGAAGAAGATAGTAAATACATTTAAGTGGAACTTTAGAAACTTAACTCTTATTAGATTGACATCTAGTTGATCCATTTAGAAAGGTTGAAAATCAAATATTAAATATTTAAAAATGTGTAAATTTCCTTTTTGTAATGCGTGCTAATGTGTTTGTTAAACCACACATTATGAGATTAATTTATTTTGGGTATTTTTAGGGAAAAACTAGCTAAACCACATTAGGAGATTAATTTATTTTGGGTATTTTTAGGGAAAAATATTTTGTTTTGACTGCTTTAAAAATTAGGGATAACAAAATGGGTTTCGGGTTAGGTACGATGGGTTGATCCGTCAGCCCGTCATAATATGAAACGGGTTAGTACTTTAAGTTTGTCCGTCGTTTTAGCTCGTCCCGTCAAGTCCGTCAATCTATCGGATCAGCCTACCACTTGCAATCCGCTTTACTAATTCAAATATTATTTATTTTTATTTTTGATCATTTTTTTACTATTTTTTTTCTTTCTTTAATTTTGTGTGTTGTTGAAGATAAGGAAGAAAATGACAAAGATGGAAAATTGGAGAGATCTTCAAATATTATATCTAATGATATTGGACATTGATTGTTTTGAATTGAAGATGTGAAAATTAATTAATAAGAGAATAATGTGAAGTTTTATCAAATAAATAAATATAATATAATTTTTATTTAAATGCTTAAACTTTTCAATATAAAAAAATAAAGATTTAATAAATTTTTATATACATGTATTTATTATTATATAAATTTTATCTTAATTTAATTGTTTTAAAATATAATTTATTAAAATAATATATCAATTTATATTATTAACTTAATATATATATATATATATATATATATATATATATATTGAATAGTTGATAATAATAAATTTATTATTAAATTTATTGAAAGATTTGATTTAAAAAATAATAAAATAAAAAATATGGCCTAGTTTATTCCGTCCCATTTTTTGTGGGCTAAAGACGAGAGAGGCAAAAAAACAAGGTGAACTGACCATTTTACCATTTTTTCTAAAAATCTTAATTGTCAAAATACTTATATGTTTTAATTAATATCTATTAATATTTATTACACAAACCTTGAAACATATTAAACATGTAGGAACACTGATACCTCCCCTATATGGATGAATGTATTAGTTTAATTGAAATAAATAGTTGATTAAATCCCTCATCATTTTTTCCTTTATTTCCTCCATTGCCCTTTTGTCATCAGTTGTGCTACCTCTTTTATTGTATAGTTTCTCATGCAAGAAGTGTCACACGTCTTTTTTTTTTTTTTTTTCTTTCTCTCCTTTATTACTCTCTTATCCTGATTTGATAAGTTGGTTTCCTTTAGTAATGACCACCCAATCTTTGTATAGATCATTCTCTACTCTAATTACACTTGCCACTAGTTTTGCATGTCTAACAAAACATATTTCATAGGATTATCCAAATATCATTATTATTTTCAGTGTGTTTTCTTTTATCATAATTTTAGGTCCAAGATTAGGTTAATTAAATGTCACCAATTGTGTGAACTTCTTTCTTATATAGATTTTCATGATATGGCCATAATAATCATACTTTATATTATTTTTATTACGAGCCTGTTAAAATCATTTTTCTCTCATTATACATCCATCTTAAGAAGTCATTTTTATCATATTACATACTTTAAAAAAATAAGTTCATAGTTCAATCAAACTAACTTTAAATAAAACAATATATAAGATCAATAGAAGCCATATATTATCTATTACCTTCCATAATTTTTTTTAAGTAACGGTTCACATACACCTCTTTTTTATATGCACTTATTATATCTTATATCTTATTTCATCTTATATCTCCCTTTGTATCACGTTAAATTTCCTATAAATCCATCACTTTTTTCTTTTATTTTTTTTTAATGTAAATTGGCGTTTTGTATGTCAACAAAATTGTATTTTTCTTAATTATAAGGCAAGTCCAATTTCATCGTCAAAACATTATGTGTGATGTTGTACATCAATACCTCATAATGGTCTCCAAATAAACTTGTATTGATCTTTCACCATACTTTTTTTAGGAACTATTATCAAACAAACCAATTATTTTCTCATAAAACATTTAGGATCACTGTATGCTTCCAAGGCATTTATAATTTTTGAAAAACACTCTCAGCAATATAACATGGTTTAACCTATCATCCTCCACATTCTCATTCTTCAAAAATTTAGACCAATTAAATCCATATGATCTCTCCTTGGCCAGGGTACTGCAAACTTAATTAATAGCTTATCCTCCAAGGTTTATGTCTTCCTTTTCTCCTCCGGTGGACTTTAAATAATTCGATATGTTTTTAATATTATTGTATATGTTTATGAGTAAAATATTAAAATCATATTATATGTTTCGTAGTACTAAAATAATAATAATAATAATAATAATAATAATAATAATAATAATAATAATAATAAGGGATAAATTGATAAATAAATATGTCTACGTAAATGTTATTGACAAAAATATAAATTTATTTAGTTCCAAAAAAATGAATATTCTAAAATACTGTCGCTCTTCTAGTAAATATTCACGTGAAATATATAGTGCACAATGTAAGCTTGATATCTAAATGGTGCATGTGAATTTTTTTACTAAAAATTCATGAATACTTTATAAATAAAACACTAATTGATATTTCTTATTTCTCAGTTCTTAAGATAATACCAATTATATATCTCCTTTTGTTCTCCTAAACAAACGGTATTCACAAAACATTACTCGGACATTTTTTTTGTTGGTCCATATATAATAGAATTTAAGGAAAAGGAGAAAAGATACTGCGGCGATCCGACGCGATCCTACGCTTTCGGAGGCGTTCAGAAATGATGAAAGCAAGTTCAAGAGATTGTGAAGCATTAAGCCTGGGGTCACAGTGAGTGTGGTAACGTGAGCCCAGATCATCAAAGGTGACAGTTCTCGACCCACCAATGCACTCAGTCACATTCTGACCCGTCATCTCTAGATGAACCCCACCTGGGTGGCTTCCTTCCTGTTCATGCACGTCGAAGAATGCTTTCACCTCCGCCTGTTCAATTAGGTGAGATTAGTGGCACACATGCTCAGATATCAACTATCAATCAAGGTTGGCAGTCATATGATACATGTTGCTTTCTCTAAGTTGGTTTTGAATAGATATAAACCAAAAATACAGGCATCAATAATCAAACATCAAGGTTGGCAGTCCCATGATGTTGCTTTCTCTTAAGTTGGTAAATATTAAATTCAAAACCAGTCAAGGTTGATTCACTTGCCCATTGAAAAATGAAAATCTTACGTGTAATTTCTGTAGCCAGCAATTAATATATCCTCTGTGGCTCAGGAATTCACAGTACGTACCTATGAGATAGTTTCAATCTCTTCTACTCTCCTATACTCCCCAACCCTCCCTCCAAAAAAAGTATAATAATAGTGTGCCTGAACTTCAAATTATGAGAGAAGAATTTAGTTTTTATATAGATTAAAAATATAGTACTATATCTCAAAGTTACTTTGAATACTAAATTTAGTTTTGTTAAGTGATATATAGAAATTTTATTGGAGATTATAGACATTTTAAACAATACCTAACTGTATATTTTGTATGCCTCCCCCACATGGGTATAGTGATTGATAAAGAAATGCAACCCAACTTCACAATATGATTTCTTTAGTTGATACCGAGTATCAGCTTTCATTATTATACTTTACTTCTACAAGCAAATCTTTTGTGACCTATTAATCCAGCTTCTAATATTATGTAACCTTCAGGTTTGGTAGCCAACCATTCAGGACTAGTTTAACAACTGCCACTATTATGCATTAAAGTCACTGAAAATACGTCTACTTACTTCATCAATTACAGACACTGATGTTAATTGTTTCTATTCTTCTTTATAAAGCCCTTCATATGATAAGATGAAAGTTTAAAAAGACATGATGACTTACGAAGTGAATAATTTTATGCTAACTAAAACGGCAATAACTAATATGATTTAAACCAAGCATATCTACGTTTCTTATAGCACCAGAAAGCTTACTTATATGCAAGGTGACCAATCAAAAGAGAATTATAGTGGCAAGAATATTACCCTGATGGCATCAAAGGGGCGAGTTTTGAGTCCACACGGAGCCTTTATTGTGTTTCCATGCATAGGATCACTGACCCAAGTCACTATACGTCCAGCTCCGCGCACTGCCCTGATCAGATGTGGAAGCTTGACCCTCATATTTTCCGCTCCCATCCTCGTGATAACAGTTATTCTGCCTGGTTTGTTTTGGGGGTTCAAGATGTTGATCAGTTTAACAAGCTCACTTGGATCCATCTTGTGACTTACCTGCCATACGATGCCATTTCATCAATCATTACACTTTCCAACTTCAACGAAGCAAATCAAGAGAGTTACCAATAGAATGAAATGTCTTTGCGTGCATGTACAAGTTCATAAGATGAACGTGCAGTTGGTTTTAGGAGAAACATATCCAAACCTTGATTCCAAGAGGATTAGCAACTCCTCTTAGAAACTCAACATGAGCACCATCCAGCTGCCTGGTCCGTTCCCCAACCCAAAGCATATGTGCGGAGCAGTCATAGTAGAGACCAGAAGTTGAATCCATCCTAGTGAGTGATTGTTCATAAGGCAATAACAGACATTCATGTGATGTCCAGAACTCAGTTGTTTTCATTATGGGATGCTCCACCGTGAGGCCTGCAGCAGCCATGAAACCAAGGGCCTCATCGACTCGGTGAGCAAACTCTAGGTACCTGCCATCCCAAACAAACATATTTAGTTACCTAGAATTACAAGGGTTAAAAACAACTAGATCATGGTTCTGGGACTAGTTCTTATCAGCACAATCGTATTAAAAGTACCAACTACTCAAATCTTCTGAAAGCTGGGTAATGCAAATCTTAAGAAAGACAAAATCAGAAACTGGAGAAGGTGGGGCGTGATTCGGAAAAGAGTAGTAAATACATTAATCGTGGAAAACATACTGTAACACAAAAATTTAATAATATTAAATCATTTCAGAACATTATATTTATTTATTTTTTTAAAAGGAAGGAAAAGCAATAAAGTACAATTAATTATTAAAATGAACATAGTTTTAAAAAATAATAAATTAACAATTAAAATTATTTTTAATATAGTTAAAAACTCACAAATTGTTTTGCCAGAGCGACATTGTCACAGTCTGTACAGAAAAAGGCAAACATCCTGTGTTTCATTTGGCGAGCGGAGAGTGAAGATTAAAAAAAGAAAGGGCAAAGAAAACGTGGCATATTATAGGTGGTAGGGTGTGTTTGGTGATTGGTATTTGGTAACCAGATACAAACAAAATGAAAAGAACAAGACAAGAAGTGAGAAGAGAATAACAAGTTACGGGAAAACAGGGAAAGAAAACCGTAGACCGCACCGATAGAAGAAACAAAGAAAAGAAAAAAGTTGTTTTTCCATGGGACGCACCTGTCTCCTTGCTCGCTGTGCTCTGTGAAGTCCAAATTCCACTGGCCAACCCTTTGCATAGCAGCGTAGCCTCCCGTTGCAAATGCCCTCAGAAGATTCAGAGTAGCAGCGGATTGACTATACGCTCTAATCATCCTTTCAGGATCAGGAATTCTGGCTTTCTCCTCGAACACATCTCCGTTTACATTATCGCCTCTGTAACTGGGGAGTTTCACCCCTTTCCTCTCCTCCATCTGCTCGGATCTCGGTTTTGCGAACTGACCCGCCATTCGTCCCACCTAACACAAAAAAGTGAAACGCAACGTCATTACTCTCATTGTTTAATATTTTATTTGGAGCGAGAGAGTGGAGGTGGTGTGGTGGTACCTTAACAACGGGCATCTGGCCACCGAACATCATAACGACGCTCATCTGGAGGAGGATTCTGAAGGTGTCGCGGATGTTGTTGGCGTTAAACTCCTTGAAGCTCTCGGCGCAATCTCCACCCTGGAGGAGGAACGCGTTCCCCATGGCGGCATCGGCGAGGCGCTCCTCGAGGTCACGAGCCTCACCGGCGAAGACGATGGGAGGGAATGCTTCGAGGCTCTTGAGCACCGCCTGGAGCTTCTCTTGGTTCGGGTATTCTGGGAGCTGGAGGGCCTTTTTGGACTTCCAGCTGTCGATGCCCCACTTGGCCTCGCGCGTCGATTGCTGCTGTTTGCCGTTGGTCACTACATTGACGGAGTTGTCAGCCGCGTGAACGGATTGGATGGGCCTGGGCCTAGTCCCGGGAAAGGAGTAGCATTGGGTGGTGGAGGAAGGGAGGAGGAAGTGGGTTGGTAAAATGGATTTGATTTGAGGGAGAGAGTTTGAAGCGGCCATTCAGGTTATTTGTATAGGATATCACACGCACACAGGATCAGCGACAGACGCAGAGAAACAGAGATGATTGTTTTCTGAGATAATACAGTAAGAGGTGCAGAGGTTTTATACGGGAGAGGGGGTTGTTGGGAAAGGGTATTTTCGTCCATTCCATAGTGGGTGAGCGGTGGGTACTATGGGGTGAGGAGTGGGCAACTATCAAATCAAACGCTGAATTTGAAGTGGATGCATTGATGTAGTGCATCAATCCAATGGGTATTGAGGAAAGGAGATGCTTCATCCAGGAAAAAACATTTATTTTATGTTAAAGGTGAAAATAATTTTTTTTTTTTTGCTTCCGGTTTGTGAAATTTTTGGAAACAAAATATAAAACATGTTTTTTAAAGTTAGTTTTAGTCTCTCTAAAATGTTTTTTTAATTTAAAATACATTAATTCTTGTCCTCATATTTGTTAAATAGTGTTATACCATAAAAATTTATTTAAACAGGAATAAATTGTTTTTTTGAAACAAAAAATGGGTAGTACATTAAAGAAATAGTAATAACGAAAAATTATTTAAATTTTATATACATTAATTTATTTTAAAAAATGCTAAAATAGAAAGAGTTAAATAATAGGTATAGTACAATAGAAATACCAATAGTAATAATGAGATTGCATTTATAACTACTCAACACTCTGACTATTTATTCTATCAATCAATGTCAGCGAAAGAGGTAGCTCTTCATGTAATAACTTTTTTTACATATGTTTATGTATCTACAGTCATGTTTAGAGATTTTAAAGTTGAAATATTGGTTTAACTTTAATCTTCAGATAACCTTACACTATTTTTATGTCTTCTTTTTTCTTATATTTTCTTCACTATTTCCCTTTATCAAATCTAAATAAATCTCTTAATTATTTTTAAAATATCACATCAATTCTTATTTTCTATGTATTACATTAATTCTCTTTAATTGTTTAAAAAACATATTATATCCTCCTCATAAATTATTTTAAAAGCATTACATTCACATTTCTTATGTATTACATTAAATGACTTTAATTATTTTCAAAAGAAATACATCATATTCCTTCATGGGTTTTTTAATTATAAACATTAAAACATAAGGATACTTAACAAAAATCACAGGAATTTAATATAATGTTTACTGTAAAACTTATTCCTCTATAATTTAATTTTGATTATATATGTATTTTAAACATATTAGAATATAAAAATATTAATTAAAATGTTTTTATTTTTTGTTTTTCCTTTCTCATAAATTATTTACTATTTCTAATTACGTCCTGTATTTACTCAATTTATAAGTATTGCTAATTAATGACTTTATGAGCTGTTTTCCACGACGACAATTCATTGATATTCGAAATGAAAAATGACTTTGAATTATTCTTTCTAGATGAGATAATATTTATTTTCAATATAAAATCATTAGGGAACAATTTGATACTTTATTATAAATAATTTATAAAAAATAAATTATTAATTTATATTTTAAGTTTTTAATAACATACCATTTCAGGACATATAAAAAATAATTAAAGTGTCTTTGCTTAAGAAATTTAGACGATCTTTAAGAAATATTTTCAATCTATATTCTCATGTTAATATTTCATACATTGTCATTTTTTTTCTGAATAATTTTAAAATATTTTACATATTCTTATTCTTATTCTCATCTTGTAATAAATTCATGTTCAACCTTATAAATTAATTTATTTTTATATAATTTAGATAGTTAATTTATTATTATATAGATAAAATAGATATTTTTTTCATAAATATTTATATATTAATTGATTTCAATGGATTAGGACGTAAGATTTATGATTTAGGATTTAAAGGATTTGATTTAGGGTTTAGAGCATATATAATATGGTATAAGATAAAATTTGTATAATTTAGGGTTAGAGTGTAAGGGTTAGTGTCTAGGGAGTATGATATAAGATTTAAGGTTTATGATTTAAGGTTAGAGTGTAAATGTTAGTGTCCAATGTTTAAAATATATTGTTTAGGGTCTATGATCTAAGGTGCTGGATTTAGTGTTAAAGTTATGGTGTGGAGTTTCTGGTGCAGGTTAAAGGTGGTCGAGGATATTATGATTTAAAGTTTAAGGATTTATGGTTTATGAATTTTGGTTCTAGGTTGAAGGTTTATGATTTGGGTGTTAGGTTGCAAAGCTTTGGATGTAGTGTTTATGGGTTAGGATTTTATGATTAAGAGTTTCTAGGATAGGGTTATGGTACTTGGTGAATAATTTAAAGTTTAGGATTAATGGTGTATGAAATCTATGATATAAAGTTTAAGATTCAATGTGGATAGTTTAAGGTGTAGGGTGTAAGATTTAATATTTAAGGTTTAAAAATTAGTGATAAAGGTTTTGAATTTATGATTTAAGACTTAATGGTTGAGAGTTTAAGATTTATGGTTTGAGAGTTTAGAGTGTAGGGATAAGATGTAAGAGTGTAAATAAAATATTTTCAATATCCTATCACATTTGAAATGTATATACATTGATTTGAGAGAGATTATTGAAATTTACTTTCCTTTTTATTTCCTTACAAAATATCATTATCCAAATTATATCTTATTTGATTAAAATTGGTATAATTATAAAATATTATAGTTTCTTAATAACTTAATTACGCACAATTTTGTATCTTATAAATAAATTACATATATTATATTTCATATAAGATATATATATATATATATATATATATATATATATATATATTTATATTTCATTTTATATATTTTTTTTTAAGTGAAGAAGCTCCAACAAATCATTATTCTTTTTAAGGAACCTATGGACATCTCATTACCAACAGAATATTAAAATCACATGGCTCATAATCTCTAGAGGGAGTGATAAGTTTATTAACATCATATAAGTTATTTTGTAATATTAATATTGTAAAATTTAAAAATGTATGAGTTAAATTGTGATTACGACTTGCACAAATTAATCTCATCATTCATCTTTTACTATTATTTATAAAAGACACTCGCATTAGATACAAATATTTCTTATATTTATCACATTTTTTATTCTATTTTTTATAATTATTTGTTGTAACTGACTTAAATATAACTATTATAAATCTAAACCTAAACACAACTTCTAAAGCCCATTTAAGTAAATCATCCCTGCCTATGTCAATAAATACAAAATCACTATATGATAAAAAAATATTTATAACTCACATGTTATCTTATCTCAAAATATCAGTAATTGAATTATATGAAATATATTTCACTATATCATTATTTATCCAAATTTATTAACACGTTAATTTTATTTGAGATATTATTATTTAAAAAAATATTCATCCATTACAATTGAATAAACCACATCAAGTCTAAAAATGATCCAATCTCACCAAATTCACACTATTTCCATATTGGTTTGTAGAATGTAATTTCCATATTTAGTAATCCAAAAGTATTTTCGAATTAGGTAATCAAAATGTATCCCTTAAATTAACAATTAATAATAAGAATAATAGAAAGAAAAGATGAGAAAAATTTTGGGTTTATAGAAAAAAACAAAAACAAGAAGGCATGCAGGAAAAAGATAGACACAATGATAAAACGGGATTTATTTTAATTACCATATACAGGAAGAATTACTCTACAAATAATGTTCCTGTGGCCCAACCATCTGTGGAGCCCAACTCAAATACCAGAGCATAGCCTTATAAATTAAGGGGTTGCAATTGGTACTTCTACTTTTGCTTTTTGAACCCCAGAAAAGTACCTCCCTTGGCCCTACGTATTTCCCTACCTCTCTTCTTCTGAAACCGATTCACAGTAGAACAATAACGTCTTCTTTCGTGTATTAGGTGTAAATTAAATATGTAATGAAAACTCAATTTTATCGTACATTTTTGTCGAACAAAAACTTTTTTTTTTTTCAAGGTATTTTGGTAAATGAATATTTCATGAAAAAGTTAGGGTGAATGCTTCCTAGGAGTTGGACTAGTGTATCGCCTGCAGGCGAATGGACCACTTTCGGCAATTGCAAGAGCCCAGTTTAATTGAAAAGGAACAAGGCCCAATACTATAAGCCCATACGGTGTTTGAACCCCTTTCATTTCTTTCTTCTAATATAACAATGAAATATCGATTACTCTTCGAAACCTTTATATAATTATATTATTAGAAGACGAAGGATAAAATTAAAAGTAAATTTATTTATAGAATAATTTGATATTTCTTTATGTGAGTTAAGAAGAAAAAGAAGGTAAAAATGAAAAGTAATCATTATATTAACAAATGAATTCTTGCTTCTAACCTTTTTGAGTCCATAACATTCGTATCTTTTTGTCTGATAAATTTATCACCTGAATATAAGGTATTTACTAGATTCTTTGTTTTATTATACAATTATACTTGATGCAAGTACTCAACTTCAAATAACTTTGTTTTTAATGATACCTGTGTAATAAGATCGTCATAGCATTGTGTCTAGACTTTATAATACATGTCCACACTTTCCCTTCACTGATAGTTTATTTTTTATTCTTGAAACTTGATGACTGTGTTTATACTGAAGTCTTTGAATCTTATGCATCTTGTAGTAGATGAAATTCAATGTTCCTAGCTGTAAAACGAGTATAAACTTGAACAATTTTGTTTCAAATGATGAACAAAAGAGTTGAGTAAATGTGAGTGTATATGGAAGTGGGACCACTACTTATTTGATGATGAGCATTATGCAGCACCTCACGCTCAATGTAAAAGTTGTATATTCCTGAGCTTGTAATCTGTGATGAAACAACAGACACCAGATATGTGAAACTGAGGACTCTCTGCCTTTGGTGGTCCAGGAACCCTGGCTTCACAATTGGACAATGAGGACAAACAAAACGTCCTCCTTGTGATTCACAATCAGGGAAACTCAGAAAACAGAATTTATTAATGCTGTTAGACATCAAAAATAACAAGGACAAATTATAATCACCAGCATTTTCAGCTAACTTCTGCACCCAAACACCACACACCATGTTTGTTAAATCAGGATCATTGAAGCTCTTTCATGTCATACCAAAACCCTAATTATTTAATTAATTAATCCTGATCTTCTTAAGCACGTGCTGCACCAACTTTAATGACATTATCTGAAGTCTTCAAAATAATGGTCGGACACAAGTTTCAAAGAATAAATTGAAATCACACTGGTCTGCAAGATCCAAAAACATTATCACATGTAATCATGTGACTACTAGCTACTGTGTAGCATACAAGTTAATTAATTACACCTATTATGTAGATAGATGGTAAACAAATACAGTAGTAAAATATGTAACAACAAATTAATAATATGAAGTATGAACAAAGATCCATCAGGGACATTCCCCGAATCATCACACAACATTAAAAGTTCATGAATCATACAGATATTCATTGTCCCTCCTTATATACTCGATTGCCGTGAGACATGAGCAGATAAGAAACTATTAACCAAAAGGCCTTTTAAACTCTTAGTAATCATTTGATTCATAACACTTAACACTAATTTGATTCAGTGAGTAAATCACACACGGTTAAGGAAGCTATCTAGTGAGTTTATGATTTTGCTGGATCCTCTCTTGGTCTGGGAGATTCTGAGTAAGTAAGATGATTATATTGTATCTAAGTTTTTTCTTATTTTTATAAACAAATAAATATGGAAAGCATATATATATATACGAGTATATGTAAATGTGTATGTATTCTACAGTGTAATGAATTCTATATTCTATGGGCCCAGAGAATAAAGTACGGCAACTGATACACATGTTGTTTCAGTTTACCAAACCCAGTAAAAAATCATCTTTTTTCACTGCAATGCTATACCCTCTATCATTTGAATCTTGAAGGTAAAAAAAAAGGCAAGAAAGCAAAAAGTCACGGCAACTCCTTATGCAATGGAAGTACCTTTCAGCATGTTTCTCTTACATTTTGGTGGTCACGAATCTCGATTCTATAATATTATTTTTCCATAACCCAAGAGAATGAAGTTCTATATTAATGGCATGGAGATAATATATTATGAGTAATTCTCTGCAACAATACATATATGGTATCAGACATAATTAACAAGTGTTTAAGATAATATGAAACTAGTTTGAAGAAATCTTTTATTAATTATGTCAGATGAATGTTGTACTCAGCTCATTTTCTGTTTATCTTATGTTGGCGACGAAATAAAAAGTTTAGCTACGCATAGTTTGGGGATATTTTGCGGAAGAGAGTAAGAAAGGAAACACGTTTGTTTTAACGCACCGACTCCATTTTTAATACGCAGAAGAAGCTAAAATTTGTTGTTCCAAAACGGGTATGGATGAAGTGTGACAAATGTGCAACCAAAGAGATATATTGTAATTTAAAATATTAAATAAAATTCTATAGAATATTTTAAAAAGAATGATAAAAATATTTTTTATTAATTAAATGAATTTATTCACAAACTATTACATAAGCAATATTTCTTATAGCTTTTTAAAATTATATTATTTTTAACTCACGTAAAATGATTTTTAATTTTAATATATCTTTTACCAATTTTTATGAAAATTCTTGAAATAATTATATTTAGTTACGCATCTATTTTATGAGGCCAGTATATACGTTAAGTCTTTTGATTATTATCTTTAAAATCAGTTTTCAATTTTTAATAATTATTTTGTTAAAATAAATTTTATTTTTTATTTAAAAATTAAATAAAAAAATTATAAAACGTATTTTGTTTGTACTACATATTTTCTTTTATATATAGAGATATAATACAAGTTAAGATAGATTAGTCATTATAACAGAATTTGCTGTCAGTGATTGGTTTATTTTTGTTTTCAAATTTTAAAAACAATTTTAATTATTAATTTTAAAGTATATAAATTGTATATACTTTAACTTATTTTGGAGATATACATTTCACTTACATATACATTGTTTCCTCACTTCCTCTCACTTTTTTTTATTATTGTTCATCCAACCTTTCCAACTAGTGTATCAAAATCAAACAACTAAAATTTTGATCTCACAAATCAAGAATAAAATAGCTTCTGTGTTTTTCATTCATTTAATCGTAATGATAATGGTGAGAACCAAACGCATGTTTAGTAACGGAAAAGGAACGTAAGTTTTCACATCTGGGCAAGAGCATGCAGTTCCTGTTTTCACACCAAGGCATTTTTTTGATAGCTGACCTGATTTAATGACTCCGATTTGATGAACACGTGAATACATGAATTTGATGACAGCACCAGCTTAGTGAGACAGGTGTTGACTCATCATACAGAGGCAACAACGCACGTCCACATTAAAAAGTGCTCCTTTTCCGAGCTTTATTGGTTCCATGAAGTGGAAACACCAAACTACCAATCACCAAAAATTATTCAAAGGGTCCAAAGAAGGTTGGAAATTAGCATCGGATCTCAGAAGTGATCCAAATCCAAAATTCGAATTTGATATATTAACTTAATTATGACAATAAAAAAAAATACATCAGAGACCAATTAATTTCAATTTTAGCAGTTCATTTATTACAACTAAAAATTTTGGGCAACCTCATCAAACAGATGTTTTCAAGGTACAACATGGTTATAAGCCAGATGTTCCAATTACAAGTAGAGCTCTAACATGGAAAACCAGGGAGCCTTCTCTTCCCTTTCCTTTGCCTACTTAAACAAGAAATCTAAGGTAGGTCAATAACAACTTCACTCAGTTATGCATATGCAAGGCAGAGCAAGCCAAACTTACTTCAATTCTCAAGAAAAAAACACATCATTCATAGGGCACCACATTAAAGTAAAGTAGAAGGAAGCATTAGTTACAGGAGTAGAAAAAAGCATACAATTGATCACAAGTAATGCAGCTAGCTCATGGAGATGGAGGCCAATACATTCCAGCATCTTCTATCCCTTCATAAAACCCGAACTGAAGCTCATCTAGCCTGCCTTCATCATCCCACATTCCATCATAACTGTCACTGTCATCAACATAGTATTCACCCATGCCACCAGCCACGAAGTCCCAGGCCAAGTACTCAGAAGCATCTGACACATCCGAGAAATCATCCCAGCCATCACTCTCGTAAGTGTCAAGAACAAAAGGCCCCAAAACCTTCAGTTTTGGAAATTTCTGCTTTAAGAACATGTTGTCCAATGTGACACCCCAACATCCCCTTTGATCCAAAAATTCAAGCTTTGGGCAATTTGCAAGTATTTGGAGGACACCCGAAGTGCTTATAAGATGATAAGCCATTTCAAGATGTTTGAGCTTAGGCATTGTGGAGGCAATTGCATATGCTTCATCATCTTGATAAGGCTTGCCTGCAGTATCCAATGGATGCATGTTTCGACACAACCCTTCTAGCAGTTTGCAGTTCTTGCCAATCATCTCGAGCGCATAGGGACCGATTTTAATACAGTAGCTCACATCCAAGAATGAAATCATAGAAAGCCTCCCAGCAATCTGTTCCACAATGGAATCACTCATACTGCTCCTTGGCAGTCGCAAAGTCTGGAGGGAACAGGCACTTGCAAAAGAGCAGAAGGATTTTGTGTAAGAAAGATGGCTAATAGGATCCAGCTAACAAGTAACACCACCTTCATTAATTTAATTTTCTTCCAGCGCAAGTGACATAAAATGAGGATATCAGCTTAACTAACTGGAGACTAGTTAATGTGAACTAGCAGTAGCAACATTATAACAAGATAAAAATGTGTCAAATTTATATCCTAATCCAAGACTTGTCAGCATTTAGCACAATGATCACAAAACTTCTTATCCACATGATTAACACTAAAGTTTAAACTGCATGTAATTAATTAAAGTTGCACAGTTCTGCTTACTTTTCAGCAATGAAAGTGAAGATGCTCTCAGTTTGGAGACCAGAAACACTGAGTTTGCGGAGGGATCCACAACTTCTTGTGATAAGCATCTCAAGCAGCCGATCGAGTTGGTCGGGCTGGCATCGGTTGCTCCAATCCTTAATGTCTATCTCTTGCCAGCAGTAAGGTCCAGTTACTGCATTAGCCCATGATTTACACACTCTGGGGATCACTGTCACCCTGTCCTGAAGAGAAAGATTGGTGAAGATTACCCCTAGGGCATCAGGAATCAATTCAGCCCAACTTCGAAATTCACTAGCTCCTTCCATCCAATCTATAAAAGAACAAAATTCCGAACTTTTATGGTTTCTTGTTGAGGCTCAAGCATCAAATAAAAAAGATGTATACATTAATTAAAAGCATTAACAAAAAAGAACACTCCACAGAAAAGGCCAAAAAAAAAAGCACATTGAATAACAAGATTCAGTGACACACACATACACCAAAATATCTGTCACCAGCATGTGAATGAATAGTTCAATTTCAAATATTCTCTGAAGAACCAGTAAAAGGAAGCATCTTTTGGAAAGGGGGTAGAGAGATCGAAAACTGGAAGACAAAGGGAATTTCGATAGCACAAAATCAAACTTCCCTAATTGAAGATAATTGAAAAGATCTCAACTTTACATATTCATCTAACAGACTCCCTAAAAACAAGAAGTTGGGAAAATATAACATGCCAGAAATTTTTCTCCCAACAAGAAATTAAAAAATGTGAGAACATTTCCCATAACAGAACAGAACTTGAAGTACATTTTTGGCTTTTCCGAAACAAAGCCACCGCCAGCTTGGTAGAATGCTAAAAATCACACAGCCCAAGCCATCGACAGAGAGTCAGACACCCCTCCAGGCTTTTGCTAAGAAAACTCAGGAAAGAGAGGGAGGAAAGTAAAAAAAAAAACAACAACAAGAATTGAGTTTTTAAAGATACCAAATCTTGAGCATAAAGAATCCACAGATTTTTGTCCGAGAAAGTGAGGGGAGTATTCTGAGTTTCCTGAGTGAATAAACAAAAGGGTAGGTGAGAAGGAGAGGAAGAGAGAGAGAGAGAGAGAAAAAAAAGAGAGTCACATGCAACAAAAAGGTATGAGATTTAGAGTTACCAGGGGAAATCTTAGATGAGGAGACAGAGTTCCTTGGAGAAGCTGAATTATGGAAGCAGTGAGCGTCTAATCCGCCACATGCGCCGGGAAAAAGAGAGGAAAGGGAAAGCTACACAACAAGACACGTCTTCCCACCTACCCTCCGATTGAATGCAACCACCAGCTGCAACAAGACCAAGAGTAAAGCCACAGTAGAATAGCAAGCAAAGGTACATGTGTTATGTGTGCGTGAAGTTTGTAGAGCAGAGGGTAGAGAGTGAAAGTACCTGATGGGAGAAGTAGCAAAGCCAAGGATAGATAGAGTCCTTTCGACCAAAAAGGACTAGAGTATTGTATTTGCGTATAGCTGGAGGCGAAAAGAGAACACACACAAGAAGCAAGATAAAATACCAATGAATGTTTTGTTACTGCAATACTCAAACTGTCAATTTTGTCTTGGCCGAGACGATTTTAAAACAGCAAGAAAAGAAAAAAACATTAAATTGTCATTAAAAGGTCAATATTGGCAAGAAAACATGACAGATATTTATTGGCATCGTCATCGCCACGGTACCTTTAATGTCAAATAAAAATACTACTAGTATCGAATACCCTGATACGAAGAACATTAAATATTATTTAATTTCATAAATGAAAAACTTATTCACGAAAGAGATTATTGGCAGTCACAGTAAAAGAGTAAATGCAGAGAGAGAGAAGGAACAGAACAGAAATCACTCAGTTAGAAATGGATTGGAAAAGGGTTACACCGACACGAGTCGGTAATAACTGAGGAGCTTGACTGGAACTGGTGTTGTGTGTGGGAGTGAGAGTGTGAGTGAGAGAGTGTGTGTGTCTATCTAACCAATGTCCAAAAAGAAAAGGCTACACTGTGGGCATGTGAGAATAGCACGGGCTAGTGGTGAGGATTGAAGTTGACTAGAGGACAATTTGTTGAATTTAAAACCAACAAGTTTCGATGGGACTCAATTCTGAGTAAGTTAGATTACAGGTGTACGATATTTAATGCGCCACTAAAACCATTCTTACTTTTTTTTCACCACACCAATTTCTTATTTTATAAAACTACTTTCATAAGCCTTCTTCAATTCTAAATCCTATTTTCATCTCTTAATTCACTTTTTTACGTGTTTTTCTTTGCCATTTTCAACTTTCTTTTCTAGATCCTAAATTCATATTTTATACTTTTATTTTAAAATCATTATTCATCTACTGTAATGTTTTTTTTTTTAAGTCAATTCGGATAAAATAAAAACAATATTAAAACTTTATGAATTCTACATTACCACAGGTATAATTTGAAGGTCTATAAAATATGAAGGTCATTAAAATATAGGAAACGTTTGAAATTTTGTAGTAAAAGAGGTTAATAATGGGTGAGTTTTTTTTATAAGTGTTTAGGGTTTTTTTACTGTTTGTTTAATCTGTTTATTTCAGCAAATGGATTTATGGTAAGCAAATTCTTTTTGTTTCTTTAAAAAGTAGTTATTTAAAAAAAAATATTTATTCCAATAATATTTATTTTAAAAGTTTAAACAAAATTTCGTGTAGCTAATGTAATATCAAGCAATTTAATTATAAACAATGTAAATCGTGTAGCTAATGTACAAATATAGAGCTTGATAGGAATGTTTAATAAATTATTTTTTCAATGAAAATTGACACCAATGGTAAGAAAAAAAAAAAAAAAAAGTGGCATTTATGATCCCTCACCTACACGTCACAATTACTTTCTCAAATTCTTTTTCTTTTTCCCCTCACTTCTCCTTTTTCTCACTCTCCATCCCTTCACATTTCTCATCCCGTGTTCCTTCATCTTTCTCCTTTCATTTTAGACGCAAGAGTAGATTTGAAGCCATTCATGGTGGACCAAAAGTGGTGTAGCATAATAGAGGGTGTCTCCGCCATGGACTTGTGTCTTTGTCACTACACGTAGTGACATGTCAAAGATAGTTTGTTCATTGAGTTCTTTTTATTATTGAGAGGTAGGTTTTTTGAATAAGGATGTGTTTTGGGATGACTGCTTCTGTTATTCGTGTGTTTAGTATAGTCTTAGACCCTATCTCTAGGTTTGATTATTGATTTTTAAGATTTTTGTTGTTGTTCATATCCCTTGTCAATTTCAGGGACTGATTTCCCTAGGTTTGGTCACAGGTTTCATTTTGTTAGATCTTGTTTTGATGAATTATGCACCCCATAGTTTTCTTTTCTGAAATTTCGAGTCCTTCTATAAGAATTCTTCTTGCATGTAGAGTAGGGACGTGTGAGATAATTTCAACCGTTATTAGTATATAAAAGGTTTTTTATATTACTTTAATTTTTATCATGTTATATTATTTATAATATTTATATTGTTTTTGGGGGTTATTTGATGTTTTGAATGTTTATATACTAATTTTCATTATTATTTTAGTTCAATTTCGTTCTCACTCTTTTTATAATAATTTTATTCCAACATTTTATATTTTTACTTAGATATATATAAAAGAATATATTCTTTATTTAAATAATAAGAATTATATATATATAGTAATCATTATTTTTTAAAATTTTAGTAATTAATCATAATTGTTATGTTATAATAAAACCAAAGATAAAGAAAGATAAAAGGTTAGTCTGAAATAAGTTAATCACTTTTTTTTTCTTTTAAAGGTGAACATAGATATATAATTTAATTAGTACCATAAATTGTATCTGAATTGAGTTGAGATTGATTTAAACAGAGATGTGAAATTATTTAATTTAGTAGGTGAAAATATAACAAATGAATCGTGTTACATTTATTTTATTATATATATATATATATATATATATATATATATATATATATAAATTGCTTTTTTTGTTTTGTTACTTAGTTAGGAAGATCAAGCTAAATTTAATTATTTTTTAAAATATATAATATTATAAAATATTAGTAATTATAGATTAATACACTTTCTAAAGAGGATTTCTTGTTATGTTGATTTTTTTTCCCTATATTATATTTTAAAATGTATATTTCTTTAGGAAATTGGGTATAAATAATAAAAATATATTTTATATTTGTTTTTAAATATACCTTAATTCAAATATATCTATTTTTATCCTTTATATTCCATATAGATTATCCCATGAAAAATTCAAGTTGGATGATTCAAACAATTCATCCCAAATAAAGTTGTAGTTTTTTTTTTTAAGTATATCCCATGTTTTTATTTTTGTCAACTCTTGGGCTATACTGCTAAAAATAAAAAAATAAAAAGCACCAATTTGTGTTTAGGAATGGTGAAGAATTGGGAACTGGACAATATTCCAGAAAATTTAGTGTGAAATGAATAGAAAGTGGTAGAAAAAATTTATGGGAGTGTAAAGAGAAACATCCCATGAATAGAGCCCCACGGCCCACAGCAGACCTAGAGGTTTTTAAAACAGGCCCAAAACAAAACAATCCAAAAAAGTGACAAGTCTTTCTCTTTGAATATGTTAAGTGGCTGGCTCTGGCGCATTAGATGGAAAAAGTGTTTCATCTTTTATTATTACATAACCTTCCCTCACAATAAAGAAAATGACACATAAAATAAGACAATATAGAAAATAAGTGGAAAATCGAGAAGATGACGTAATTACAGGTAAAAACAAATTTTCTATCATTCATGTTAATATATATAATTTATAAATATGTCTGATTGAGAGAGAACAGAGGCCAACCAACTAAGACGAAACCAGACAAACAACCCCAGATTGAGACAAGACAAACTGTACCGACCAGTCATCATATAAAGGGGCAATTATTTTATTTTCACGAAATTTAGGTTTCATAATTTATCAGATTCCATTTTCAAAACTTCAGAAACACTTAAACTATTGTAATGAAAGATTGTGTATAATTAGGGAAACAAATTATTTCATTACATGGCCACATAAATTGCAGGAATGATCGAAAAGGACAAAAAATTATGTGATGCGGCAAACAAGGCCAGGGACCTACTTGAGCAAAGAATGCATGTCTCAGAACATTCTTAATCTCCTCTTGGATGAGATATTTGTGCAGAAAGCTGAAAGTGGGACAAGTTCATCAAAGATAATTGGTTCTTTTTTCAGGGTTCAGTAAGATGCTTTCAAATGCTTTGCTGGAAACCATGCAAATCACATTTTTTTTCCATGTGTCCACATACATCATTTCTGGATTTGGACAATACTTCTCAATCATAGAGTGTTTCATCATCTTCCACCAACGTAGTCTTTTATTCCTCAAACATTTTTTTTTTCTTCTGAAAAATAACAATCCATTTCTTGTTAATTACGTGGATCAGGTTTAGCTATTATTAGATTCAGATATGCCTTTACTTTGAGCTCCATTATCCCTAGCTAGCTTCTCTTGGGATTTTATTTTGCTTTAGAATTTGATTTTATGTGAATAAAATATTTTAAATGTACAACTTATTCTTTTTCTTGTCGTTGGTTACTTTAAAATATTACTGTTGTGGATCTTAAGAAAGAGGTGACTTTTATATATACAAGAGAATGAAACATCTGTGTAATTCTTTATGCCTAAATAAATGTGACAATATAACGTTTCAAAATGTATAACATGTGAAACACAAAAAATGTGTTTTTCAATTAATATTGAGAATGATAAAGTATTAGTAAAAATAAATATAGTAAACATTGTGAGTTAAAAAAAGTATTAGTAAAAAACTTTTTATGATTTAATTTTGGCAAGTATGGGGAAAAATGAAGATTATGTTTTTGTTAGAATGATAAAGCAAAATAGGGCTAGTGATTAACACTTGAATTAATTAATATGTCACTCTCAGTGGCTCCTACTACCTACCAATTTCAATGGCAATTTAAAATGGCGAGGCAGCATTAAGTTCTAAAATTGCAGTTTCTTCCCTTTATTGGGTGAGCATCTTATTCAGAACCACTCAACTCCCTTTAATGGCTAATCTCGTGTCTTTAAAAACCCTCTTTTTTTTTACCAAAAAGATCTTTATTTTTGTGCCCTTCAATGTAAAGCATTACCTTGTCGATGATTAGGGATGCTATTGAGTCCTATGTCCTCAAGGTAACCCATCAGTAAATATTGGTACAATTTACTGTTAGGGTAATATTCCTCTAATTAAGGGTTTTTATGTTTTAAAATTATTGTGGTTTTCTGGCTGACGGTATTTTCTACTTTTTTTTTATGACTAATTTGTTTAAATAAAGTGATTTTTATATAAGTATAAATGTTATTTTATTAAATTAAATTTACTAAAATTAAATTAAATACTTTTTAATATATGAATATATTATTTATGAAAATAATTTATTTTAAAAAATTTTATTAGTATATATTTTACTATAAATATATACACTTAAAGATAAATTGACAAATAAAAAATAATATTCAATTACAAGTTGAAAACGCAAATTAAATTGTAATTTTTTAAAGAGAAAAATGTAATGTTTAGAAGGGGAGAAAATATATTGTTATATAATTTGAAAAGTTTGACAATAATTTAATATCTATGCACTTTTCGGAGTGCCAAACCGAATTAGTATGTCCCAATTTTGATATGTCATGTCCTGTATTTTATCTACTGTCTGCAAAATAGATTGAAGCTGACTCATATAAGACTCATTTAATTTTTTTGGTCCACCCTACATAACTTTGTGTCTGCATGTCAACCCATGTATTATTTTAAGTTGTACAAAAAATTTTATTTTAATTAACTAAGTAACACCAAAGTTAAATTATTTTGAGTAGTACTGTAATAAGATTTTTTAAAAAATAATTAAATTTGTTTATATATGAAAAAATATGATTAAGAGAAAAAGTTGTGCATCAGCATCCAATAAATATACTTCCTATCTTTGTAGAGACAATGAGTTTTTCATTTAAATAACCAAAATGGAGACACACCACACTTTATTAGCAAAAAATTCAAACTCATATTAAAAGTGTCTTTAATTTAAATTTAAGGATCATTAAGAAATACAACCAAATAAAGACTTTTTAATAAATTCTTTTTAGTTTATGTTACAAGAACTCAAATTTTAATAAGAGTTTTTTTTTTTTTATGTAACTACACGTTAACTAACAAACAATTTTACAGTGTCTTGGTTCATTACATAAAACATCTATAAAATATTGTCTTGTCTTAAAACTGAAAAATAAGAATAAATTAAATATTAAAAGTAAATCAATAATTTAAATATATATTCCCCATAAACTTAAAACATGTCACACTAACAAATTAAACAAAATAAATCATCTGACACCACTTTATCAAATCCGTGAAAAAAATTAAAATAATAACAAAAATATCAATCAAGATATTAAAATTAAAATCATACGAAAGATTCAAAAATTATGTTTCGTAAAATCATATTTAAGCTTAAAAATTAATTATTCATGTGTATGAATAAACCTAAACGCATAAAAATGATAAATATTTTAAAAAATTGCACTACTACTCGTTAGTGTAAATGTTATGATAAAAATAACTACTTAGAACATTTTGGTCACAAATTTTAAAATTTCATTACGACTCGTTATAATTTCGAAGCTAGAATAAGTTCACTTTTTTTTTTCTTTCAAAATATAAATTGCTTGTTTAATTCCAATAACTTTGAAAAACCTTGTTTAGTTACATCTGCCCGAAGTCGTCATAGTTAAACGTCATCAAAAAAAAAAAAAAACATATTATGTAATACTATCCGATAAAAATAAATAAACAAATAATTCATTCAAACACAACACAAATTCGTGGCACATTCAAAGTATTTCCGATTTGAATATTTTCCTAGGTATTGAGGAAATTATGAATGTGAAAAGAACCGTACAAAATTTAATGTTAATTCAATTTACTTAATTGAACCCTCGTCGTATTCTCCGCTAAATCGAACTAATTAACACGGCAATTGAATCCATAGTTATCCTTGACTCCAACTTTCATCCAGTCAAACTCCAATATATTGCAGCAGTAACACATTGTACCCAGATGATTCGGACCCTTGCGGAACGCTTAACAACTATGTCTGTGTAAGCTTTAACAAATCTATTAAACTCGAAAGCTGATTTTATCAGTAAGCCAAGCCCAGAAGAACATTGCAAGCAAGAAGGTTTAGGTCCAGGCCAACTTTTTTATATTTTAAAAAGCAAATGGAAGAACATTTGCTTCTACTACATAGTCTGCGTACATATCCAGAAGATATAAACAAATAAATGAAATAATCCTACAAAATGTTTATTTTAAGTTTTGTACAACCTCCTAATCCGTCTTTCTAATATCGTAGCTGTAGCAGCGAGTAGATCAGCGTCATAATCCTCACACGGGCGTTGAGCAAGACGATGTTGAAGGATCATACAGAGCAGGAACAAGATACTTCCTTCCATTAGCACCATTCACATTGTAGCTAGCACCAGTGGTAGTATCAACCAGCAAGTTCCCAGCATAGCCAGGATAAGCCCCTTTCCCATAAACCCCAGGACACGCAGACGCGGCTTCCAATGGAGCCTCCGCAGGACCCTGGAAGTACCCATTTCCGAAAGGGTTGGTGGCGGTTCCGGCCAGGAGGCTAGCCAAGTTGATGACCATACCGTCAAGTCCCACATCGTTGTTGGGAGCAATCAAGGGTGCATTCTGGGGTCCATAAATTGGCTGGTGGAACGGCCACGCGCATTGGCCGGGACATTGGGTTTCGGAGTTTCCCACCCATATGTAAGCGAACTTGTAGCTCTTGCCACCCTTCACGTGAACAGCGGAAGAGGCAGACCCGTGAGTGCCACATCGGCTCATACAGAAACCTTCGACGGCCACGTCAGTGGCTGTCAGAACAACATTGATGGCGTTTCTCTGCCCCCCTTTGGAAGCCAACTGGACAAGGTGCTTGCTGGTCAGAGACTTTCCCAGCGAGTAATTCTCGTCCAGGATCTGATCGCCAAGTGAGAGGGACAGAGAAGCAGCCTTCTTGGGGCTCAAGTGGTAGTACTTCTCAGTGGTTTTCCACCACGTGGAAACAGATGGCTGGCTGTCTAGAGCCCCTGGTGACGACAGAGAGGTTACGAAATCGGCTACTATGGCTTTTTGGGACGGTTTGAACTGGCCATACCAGATGAGGTTCACGGCTATTTTGCCATAAAGCAAAGGACCGTTATGGTAATGGAGGAGCTGAGACTGGTCCTGAACCAGCTCGTTGAGCTTCCTAGCAGCGAAGGAAATCCGAAAGAGGGAGATAAGGAAGAAAAGTTTGAGGAAGCATTGAAAAGGAACAAAAGTGACCATTTTTGGGATGATAACGGCCTTTTTTTGAAACAGGGGATGAAGTAGCTTAGATGGGTGTTGTAATTTTGTGATGTGGAGAAGGAGCAAGAGAAGCGAGGTATATATAGGTGGCTGTAAGGGATATTTTTGAATGAATAAATGAAATGTGTTTTAACTGTTATTGTGGCGAGGGGGGTGGAACTTGCGGAGAAAGTTTTGTGCGTGGGAAGTGGTTAGCCCCTCTGGCATTTACGAGCCAGGGCTCGGTGAGTAAGTAAAGAGAGGGACCCTCAATAAGTAGCTTTTTCATTAGCACAGGAGATAATCCCAGTTGACTGAGTGGAGAGTGCGGTGCATGCGCGGGAGTAGAATGTGTAGTGTTGGGAGCGTGAGAGGGAAGGCAGTGGGAAGCGGTTGGATAGGATTGAAAAAGAGAGGAGGGTTTGTGGGAATGAGTGAAGGGTTGGGTAGGTGACAAAAGCCATACAGCTTGGGCCAGTCAGATCATTTGAAGCAGATGGAATTGTCAGGATTGACCCGGGGAATGGATAAGGGCAAAGAAGGATTAGGTGGGAGAATAAGGGTAGAGTGGGAAGAAAAGATGTGGAATTATGGAGAGAGACGTTGGGATGACAGAGTGGATGAGTTTTATGGGGAAGCGGGATGGATCCAACTGGCATTCACCCAATCGCAGCTTATGAATGCCTCTCGCGGCATCCGAGGAAGCACGTGATATATCGTCACACACCGCCCCCAATTTCATCAATTCCACGCGCCACACACGTGACACCACAAATATTACTCAACCCAAACAATGGATCATCACCATCTAAATAAAACAAGATGTTTGGTTTAAGAAAACAAAACTAAAACCTACAAATGAAAACAGTGAGCTTTTCTATTTTGATAAACAAAAAAGTATTATTAATTAGTATAATAACTATTTTATAAACTGTTTGAAAAAAACAGGTGTAATTTTATAAATTATAATATTTTTTCATATTATTTTAATATTATAATATCAAATTATTTTCAGGTGAGTGAGTCTCCTTCTCCATTTTAGGTATATAATTACGAAAATTTCATCTAAAATCATATTTATATAGAAAATTCATGTAATAAATAATAATCTAACATAAAAATTTCATAATTAAGTAAAATAATGGATACAAAAAATTAGAATTATAAGTTTTCTGAAAAAGACAATCCTAATCAAATGAGATTTTTAAACAATAACAAATACAATACATGTAAATACGTTATTTATGTATATACATTATTAGTAGTATTTTATTTGGGGATTAGGTCAAAGTCGCTCTCTGTTTTCATTTTCATTTTCTTTTACAGTGACTCAATTATAGCTTTCATAAATAGCTGTAGGAAATTAAAATATGTTTTGGTGTTTACCTTCATAAACCACAATAAACTATATGAGAATCTTGCCCTTTGCCCCTTTTCACTGATAATTCAGCTCCCACACTCTAATCCGTTTTGTTTTCAAGAATGTATTTTCAGTTTTGGACCTTTACATGTGTCAGAAAAAAGGTTTGGATTTAAAAAAATAAATTAGACTCCTTCTACTATAATTATCTTATAATTTCAATAATTAACAAATAAGACTGTCAAATCATAACAATTCTCACGTTCTCTTTGCTGTAATTATATTCCGATTAAAACTTGTTACCTGTAACAAGTATTTGGCATTTGGTGTGACGATGAGAGAAGGTGGACCAGAGATAAATTAAATGTTGTATTTAGAAAAAAAGATGAACAAAGAATAAAAAAAGTAAGAAAAAAATATTTTACTTTGATATAATAGATTTATTCAAATAGTTTACCTCATATCAAAACAATAAAATTTCAAATTAAAAAAATCTTCATTTTTACATATTCTTTTACCTAACTATACATTCAATCCAATTCTTTTACATTTTGCATTTTAATTCTTTTGGATTTTCATTTTCTTTAGGATAAAATATATTTTTTTACATAATAATTATATCAAATAATTTTATTTAATATCATTAAGATATTTTGTTTTTTTTATATATATTATGGTCATGTGTATATTTATATTTATAGATTTAAGTGTGAGTACCATTTCTGGAAATAAATCATTTTTATATTATTTTAAATTAAATACACATGTGTAATTAGGCATAATCTTTTATAAAATAATTTTTTTTACAATTAAAATCATACACTTTAATATATATATATATATATATATATATATATATATATAACTTAAAATAAACAATTATTTTTTTAACACAAATTATTAAAAATTCATTTGAGTAAATAATATTATATAAAAATTAGATAAAATATTTTAACTGTATTAAAAAAATATTTATTATTTCATCTTTTTCTTCATATCTTTCTTCAAAATTAAACACAATATTAATGAATGTTATTAGAAACGTTTAACTTTTTAAAAGTCATTAACACGAAAATGCAATTGTTTATATGATTAAAAATAAATATATACATAGGCATGTAGAACAAAAATTTATGTAAACAATTTTCTTTACTTCCATACAAAGACAATGCAATATCTCTAATTAACTAAGCGATTCAGAACAAATAATCGTAAATTACCCTGTTAACCGCTTTCAACTTCAACTTACCATACAAAACTCGTAAAATGAAGATAATTAAGTCATTCTTATAATTCATTATTATTCAATTTTTATATTCACTACTACAAAATATACTTTCTACGTCGTCATTTAACATCGGTTATAGCTAAGACGACGTAGAAAGTACTTTCCACGTCGGTTCAGGATGAACGGACGTTGAAATTGAATATTAAACATATTCTACGTCAATTCTTAGTCAACCGATGTAGAAACGTGGAAAGTCTTTTTTTATTATTTTTTTCACCCAAAAACTCACTTAAATTTGAAAATTGTCATTGGCGAATTCGAACTCAGATCTTTAGAGTTGGAAGTCGATACTCCAACCACTAAACACTAGAATTTTCTAATAATAACTTACTAATAAATTATATTTATATACAAAAAAATATATATCCATGTAAATATATATTTATTTGTATATATTTTCCGAAAAGTATTTTTTTTTCACCAAAAATTCTCTTAAGTTAATGAATTTTCATCGATAGCATTTGAACTCGGTATTTTAGAGTTGAAAGTTAATATCCCAATTACTAAACTACTATAATTTTTTGATAATAACTTACAAATAAATTATATTGATATTTTTCGATCGAGGGTGAAAGTGTGATTGACTCTTACTTGAGTGAAAATATGTTAAAGCTCACGGAAATTCACTCACTCAAGTCTCGCTTGAGCGAAAATTGGTATTTTTCACTTGAGAGCAAATAACGTGTTTCCCAAATTTATTTTATATCATTATATAAATAAAATTATAAAGATTATATTTTGTTATTAAATTACAAACTCATATAAAGATACCTGCTCACAAATTTAGCATCAAATTTTGAAAACCCACTCGACACATACTTTCACTTTCGAGTGTGCCCTCACATCCAACATATAAATATATAACTATATAAATATATAACCATATAAATATATCAAAATATATAAATATATTTGTATTTATATATTTACACAGATATATATTTATTTTTATATAAATATAATTTATTTGTAAATTATTATCGAGAAAATTCTAGTAGTTTAGTGGTTGGAGTATTAGCTTCCAACTCAAAAGTACTTAGGTTCGAATCCTGTCAATGATAATTCTCTTAAAAAATTTAAAAACTTTTAAAAAATATAATATAAAGAGAGGGGAGACTTCTAGATAAATAAAAGGGGGTAAAGGGGTATTAAATAAATAAAAATTATTATTAATTTAAATAATACGAGTTCCATTTATAAAGAAAATATTTTCAATTTTAATAATTATTAAATTTTCTATTTAATGATCATGACTTCTCTTAATTATTTATAATTTCAACTTCTTTCAAACACTATAATTTAAAATTTAATTTATTTCGATTTTACCTATAATTACTTAAATTACACAATTTATAAGAATTATTAACTTCAATTAAAAAATATTTTCTTAATTTTATTTTCGTTTTAAAATTCAACTTTTTTTTATCAGATAAAATAAAATATTCACCCTGAATAATAGAAAACATAAAATAATCAATAGGTATTATAATTATATTATTTTTAAAACATGTCATTAAACTATAATTATCTATAAGTAAGTCCTATTATATTTTGACTCAAAACACATTTTATCTCAAAATTGTCCTTGTATATATATATATAGCCTCTACAAACTATTGTCAAAGATATTAGGTAAGGCTAATAACTATATTAAACTATGTGCTGCCTTTTATATATTTGAGGGGTATTTCTTTTAATATATATATATATATATATATATATATATATATATATTAATCTAAAATTTAAAGTTTCACGAATATAAAAAAATATTATTTTAAAAAATATTAATCACGTTTCAAAACATAAGTTAAAGAGGGCATATTAAAACCATAACCTACATTATTTTTAAAATTGTATTTTTTTATTCTAAGTTACTTTTTTTAGTTGAATTTGTTTTATTATGTATAATCTATTTTCCTAGACTATTCTAGTTTATATGTTTTATTCAAACATTGATTTGTTTTAAATGATTTATTTTAGAAATACCATATCAGTACACGGTTTTTATCTATAAAACATTTTAGGTTTGTTTAAATTTGTTGTTAGTTTAATTTTTAATCACTTCTGAAATAATGAAATTTATTATTAAACAATTAAAAACTTTTTATTTATATTTATATAAAGGATTATCATCATTTTTAATAAAAATATTAAAATATTGAATTATTAATCCTATATATTATTTAATTTTTTATTTATATTTCTATTTAATGTAAGACTTAAAATCATACTTATATTTTTTTAATAATTTTTTCCTTCAAATTATTCCACAATGCTACGTTCGGTTGATGTAAATCACTATACAGTTTTATAAGTATCAATAATTTTTATAAAGAAGATAATGTATTCCTATCCTTGTCAAAGATTTTTTTCATTGAAATATCTTTATAGCTATAACTTACTTACCAAGGTAGTGTTTGACTTTAAAAACAATATTAATGAATTATTTAACCTAAATAATTTAATTGTAATTTAATATATAAAACTAATTGTAGAAAGAATAATTTTTAATGATAAATTAGATTGAAACTAAAGTTAAAGTTATTTGAAAATTATAAAGTTTAAAGATTAATTAAAATATAGGATATCTATTTCCTTTTCAAGATTAAATTATGCATCCTAGTTCATACATACATACTAACCACTAAAGTGCATCTGGTAGTAAAAAATGATGATAAACTATTTAACAACAGTTACCTTGTCCTTTTCATTCTTCACGATCAGGTCAGATACACTTCACCTAAGAAATACATAATCTAAAATCACGAGAACAGAACTATTATATAATCTCAAACATTAACCATAAAGCTTCATTCACGAGGCGATACTTTAAGATAGTTTTTACATATAATATACGAAGTAAACATTAGTTTGATGTCCGCTTACAATGTCCTAAATTCCCGATAGTGTGTTCATGCATTCACCTTTCGACAAAGCTTGGCTTAATCCAAGTTTTTCAGACACAAACTTTACTATTTGACGAGTATAATGAGGTCCCACGAATCTAACCCTGCGTTTTTTTTAAAGTGATCATTCACTACACAAGCATGCACGATGAATCCCTCTTGAATATTTATTTGGGAACTTGGGACTTTAACTCAATTGCATAGATATTGGATTCTCTGTCCGTGATCCAGAGAACTAATAGCTGTGAAGTGGTAGATGTAACCTAAGATATTAATCAATTGGAGTCATATGCTCGTGTTCTTCCTTTGAATGTTTGGTGGAATTTATGAGGGTTTTGATTTGGGGGTGGTAGATAAGGAGGGAACTGTTACCTCGACCAAACAAGTTCGGTGTGTACAACTGTACCCATGTGTTCTCAACGTCTTACTTTTGCCTTCAAATGGCATTGCATTGGTGCCAGAGACCAAATTTAAAAAAAATAAAAAATAAAAAATTCTTTAGATCAATTGCATCCGTACGGTTCCCTCTTGGTTTGGGCTTACTGGGATCTGGACCCAAGAGTGTTACAAATTTTTTTCTTATTTCCACACACAAGAGTGTCCACTGCACAAACATCTTCTTCCCCAACAAAAATATTTTTGTTGGTTATTTAATTTGTCTTAAATGTATGATGTTATGCGATAGATATGTGATTTTTGAATTCCTACTTTAAAAATAAATATGAAGAGTGATATTTAGAATTGAAATTGATTAGAAATAATACTTGAATTTATTGATTTATTCCATACATAATACTTGAATCATGAGACAAAATATAATTATAATTCGAAACTCTACGGAGAGTTTTCAAAAATATTTCTAAAATTACACATTATTAAATTTACTCAATATATTCAAATTTTATTAATTATTTTTAATATATTGATGGTTTGTTTACGAAATTTAATATAAGAGTGATTGTCAAATATTTGAGAAATAAATACTTATTCGTATTTAACATTTTATTTAGTTTACTTACGAATAACATAAGTCATACCTATAAAGTATTTCCTTTAATATGATTCTAACTTTATGGTAAAAAAATTCTCATTAACTATTTCTATGAATACCTCGAGGGAAAGTGTAGTTTATGTATGCTTAAAGATAAATTCGTAGGTAGTACGAATTTAAATATAAACTCTAATCTATGAGTTCATAATTAAATAACAATTTTATCTACGAATCTAAATTTATAAAAAGATATAATGAACTAATAAACAGTTTATTCTGGATTTTGACTAAAGAATAATATTTAAACAATATAGTATCTAAATTTTGTCAATTATTTTATTATAAATGAACACATTCCTATTATATTTAACTTGTTTAATATAAAGAGAGCAATATAATAAAAGTAAATACAAATGAGCAAAAAAATTAAAAAATTAAAAAATTAAAATTAAGATATTTAATTAAAAAAAATAAAGAGATAAATAAGAAATGATTCTTTATTCACTTTTTCATATATTTTTTTCATGTTCCATTTTATTTCTATATATTTTCTTCCTCACACTCTCGCAGGTCATTTCAAAGAAAAGTGTAAAAATGAAAAATATTAACATAAACAAAATAATAAAAAAGAAATATTTGTCTTAATAATAATAATAAAAAAATATCACTTTTCTTGAACTACACATATTATTTTTTACTTATATATATTAAAAAATAAAAAATATAAAAGAAAGTTATATTTTCTTATTTTTATATGAATAAATCAGTTTAATTATTTTATTTATTATTTTTCTAAATCACAATGTATTCATTCTTATGTTAATTTTCTTCGAAGGAATAATTACACTTTTTTTACTTTATTTAATATTTCTTTATTTTTATTTCCATTTCTTAATTAACACTAATATAATGTTTTACCAAGTTCAGTACTCTTATTTAATTTTCTAATTAATATTAATTTTTTAAATAATGGTTCTTCATCAATAATTTATATAATGTCTGTTTAGTAACTAACACTACAAAAAACTTCATAATTATTAGAGGTTTATTTTCAGCGAGTTATAAAAATCGTAAAAATTAAATGTAATTTATGACAAAAAATTTAACTGACACAATAATTATAATTAATTTTAAATTTTTTAATTTTATTTTTATTTATTTTCATTTTTCATTCTCTCACTTTCTTCTACCTTCTCTTTCTCTCTTCGTTATCTCTTTCTCTCTTTACCGTTTCATTCATTTTCACACTCATCTTTCACTCTAACGTTTCATCCTTCACTGCAAGGTCACATATCCTCTCTCAATCACCAATTCAGGTTTAATCCTTCTTATGTTTTACTTTTCAATTTCACATGTTTATGATTTTTGTGGAAAATTACAAGAGTTTTATTTATCATTTGTTCTTCAATTTACAGTATATGCTAATTTCTCCTTCTCTTCTCTCTGTGACGCATGACAATCTACATTCAACCGTTTTTTGTTTTTCCTTAACCTCGGGTACGAAACTTTTAATATCATTTTTTGTTTTTGGTCTCCAATCTCTCCAAGACGGACACTCGGACGGCGTTGCCGCTTCAGAGCTAACGCCGGAGGGCGACGATATCGGTGCTCGAGCCGCGATGCGATTCTGCTGCAGCCGGCGGAGCCGTTTCCTCCGCGGCGTCCGGTGCGGAGGGGATTGGAGGGTCCGGCGGTGGGGGATTGGTTTCGGGCACTTCCGCCATTGTGGTCACAGTGGCGGTGGCGGAGTGCGCAGGATAAGGGAGACGGGAGTTTTCCGGTGCGGTAGGGTGCAAGGGTACAATTACCTCTAAGATTTTGCGCCGTTGGATAGTTATTATGCGGTTTTTGGTCCTGCATCCAGTTTCCTCGTTTGAGTTTGTATTTTTAGTTAAGTTTATATAGCACCTCACTAGTGTTCCCTATGTTTTCAGAGCTATTTTGTTCTAACGAATTGCTTTCTTATCAACTACATTGCTTCCTGTCTTAAATGAGCAGGTTCCCCATTTTGGACTCTTTCCTCATTCCCCACTTTATACATTTTCTCTTTGTGTATTTGGCTCAATTTGCTTTGTTCACAATGACTCTGGGATTGACAAGCTCATGCCATGGTTCACCACAGGCATCTTCCTAGGTTATATCAATCACAAAAGTGTTATCAACACTTATATCCTACCCTTCTAGGATATTTTATTTCAGTTAATGTCTCATTTTCTAGTCTACTCAGTCTCCCTTTGACATATCATCTGTTGTCCCTCTTGTTATCCCTGCTCTTGTTCCACTTTCATCTTTTTCTCAAAATGACCTAGTGGTGCATCAAGATGATCATGCGGAGCTACCAACCATGTAACCTCTTTAGACATTAATGTCGCCAATGCCTTAATATCATTGCTACACTAGCCCCTGGTTTGGCTCGTGACAATATAGTAGAGAGGCCATGCCATACTCTTTCTCGGTGACATCTTTATTGGATCTTTGCCTTCCTCTAACATTGATTGGCCAACTGCTCTCTGAAAAGGTATTTGTTATACTCGAAACTCATTTCCTCAAGATATCAACCTTAGTTCTCATTGTCTCTCTTCTTTGATTAATGCTTGTCTTCTTGTCCTTGGTGTCTATCCCTAACAAATCTAGGTGAAGCATTATCAAGATATTAAATTATTATACATTCTACATTTCTATGTGAAGAACTAAAGAGGTTGACTCATTACATGTCACAGCTTCGTGTTAATGGAATTTATTGTCACTTTCATATTGTTGCTTCAATCATGCATGTCATTTTTCAAAATTCTTTGGTCTTGTTTGTTTCACATTTTTGTCTGCAAATTTTTAACTCCCATGTTTTTGTGATAGTGACCGTTCTAGAATCTTGAATTAATTTCTCAATACTTGATCTTTTGTTGGGGGTGTCCTTTACTATCAACTGACGAATTTTTCTTTTTAATTCTTTTAAGAAAAGGAAACGTACCAGTTGATGGGAGAAGGAGATTTGCTAATATTAGTGTAAAGTTTCCTCTCATTAACCATGACACAATGCAAACAAAAGAATAACATAGAAGTCGTCAAGTCTCTTTGAATGTTTGGTTAAACATGTTTAAAATTGTGATTAGGTGATCAAGTTGCTAAATGGTAATACTCTTGTCATTTGCTAATGTTTTCATGTTTCCTTCATTTTCTTTCCATTTCAGATTAATGCCTCTTCTTCCGAGGATGGGCTAAACTTTTATGATTCTGGTCATCGCTTTGAGCATTCACAACTTTTGTTAGTGCTTTTGCATTCCCTTCCATTTGCACCTAGGCCACTACAGAGCAGAGCACTACAGGTATTTAGCTTAACCGTGCTCAATTTTTACTACATGCATCTGTTTGTTACCTATAAATTGTATATTTTTTTATTTATGAGGTGTTTGCTGTTTCATGTGATGAAATCCTCAATACGATCTCGCTTGTACATTGATGTACTTGCTTAGTTTATGCATTTCACTTTCTTGCATTTTATAGTTTATTGGGGCTCTAAGTTCTGCTATTACTTGAAGATTTGAAAATAATGCTGAAACACTGATTTTTTGACCTTAGGTCGGTAAAAAACTAAAACAAAAAGACGGGCTTGGTTGAAGTCTAATTTTTCTTTTATTGGCGAGTCTCCCTCCTCCATCCCCCATTTAATTAATGAACATTAACCGTATTTTAAAACCATGCTTGATAGTGAAATTTTCCGGTAGCATTTCAATGAGTTTTCGTAGAATATATTCTTCAGTTTTACGTAGAATATATTCATGTTATCAATATATTCCACCTGTGTCTACATTGCCGCATATCCCCCTCCTACTGTGAAATACAGTCCCTACACATTTCACCACCTGTAATGCTGCTGTTATACATGTCCCCCTCACGTAATATTCTATGGATACTACTTTCAACAATCATGTAGGGCGAGTCTAGTAGAGTATGAACATCGATGTATGAGTAATGATTTTAATTTATTTTTAGACTAAGTATATTTTAGTTTTCGTGCAGTTTTATTTATCGATGACTAGTCATATTAAACTCTTTTATAGATAAAGCTAAAAGTAATGCAACAAAGATCTCATTGATTCGATGAAGTCAAAGATAAAGTCAAGGTCAACTCTGCAGCAGTCAAACAAGTCACCTCTGAAGAATGGAGTTTAGAAGACTTAGTGTGTCTGACATGAGAACTCGGGTAAAACCACTTTACCTTTTCCACCTGCATGAAGCTCCTTCACTCAATTTGCAAACTGCCTCAAAAATAGTTTTAAACAAATCAAGCAAAAAGCATTTTTGACAAAGAACTTTCTTAACGATGTTTTTTAACTGACATAGTTTTAAAAGAAACAATTAAAATCACTTAGAATGCGTAAAGAAGTGTTATAGTATTTTAATCGATTACAAACTTCTTTTAATCGATTGAAACCCTTTATGACCGATTAGAATTCGAATATGGCGAAGTCGAATGAAATATGATCGATCAGACTTTTTAAAAATGAGCGTATCGTATTTATTTTAATCGATTAAAACGCGTTTCAATCGATTAAACCACTGATCAGGAT